TGGGGAAATCCCTTTGCATATTTTAATAATTTAATATACGGAACGATTGTCAATGACGATTTGCATGGTCAAGGCACAGTCTGAGTATAGATGTAATTTTCTTGATGGTTTGATCTTCCACTTTCTTTGGCTATCGTTACCTGGTGATGTGTTAGCTAGATGGTCTAGCTAGTTCTTTCTGTTTTCTCTCATGTATACTTGGTAATGATATGGCTCTGTGTATTAGCGTTCTAGCAGCGCTAACTTTGTGTTGGTTGTTGTGGTCTGAACTGTGATCTAAGTATTTATCTACGTGTATAGGTTTTCTGTATACATCAACGTTAATATTGTCTTCGTGTCGGGATACAAGTACGCCAAGAAATCTAAGAATTCGTGATGCAAAAGAAACGTGAAACAAGTCAAACCAGTTTGGGAAATGAGCGTGTGCAATTCTAGCTAAATATACCCAAACCGGTTTGGCATGTTTTTACAGATAGCCAATCAGATGCGAGCGTGAGATCTTGAATCTAATTATCAAGTGAGGTTCGCGATTAATTTGACCACTACGCCCTGATTTGACCAGAGGCTCTTCTATATTTCTCGTGTTCGTTTGCCTCGCCGTTCTGCTGTCATTTGTATATGTTAACGTATATTGTAAGCTTTTTCATTTTAGCTTTGGAAGGAAATCAATACAACGTATTGCACTGTACTGAGAAGAATTTATTCTTCAGTTAGTCTTCTTTGGTCACGGACATATCGACAAGTAGGTAAAAACCTAGTAAACATTTATATCGATAAATAAGTTTTTGTTATGATTTAAAGTAGTGATGGAATAATGAAGCATTTATGCCTTTCTGTTGGAAATATACTGAAAATGTTCGCACAAATATGATATACAGTTAGGGGAAATCCCTTTGCATATATAATTTCTAGATTTAATTTTGCAATGCAAATGAGATTATACTAAATTTGATTGGTCAAGGAACAGTCCAGATGCAAATTTCAGAGTATAGTCTAGATGTAACTTTCTTGAGGGTTTGATCTTCCACTTTCTTTGGCTATCGTTACCTGGCGAGGTGTTACCTAGATGGTCCAGTTCTTTTTGTTTTCTCTCGTGCGTATACTTGGTCATGATATGGCTCTGTATTAGGCTAAGTATTTCTCTCTGTGCATGTGTATGTTTTCTGTATACATCAAAGTTAAAATTGCTTTCGTGTTTTGATGCAAGCGCGCCACGCACTGAAGAAATGTAAGTTTGTTGTTGACAGTTGACTTCATACTTTATGGTGAATTTTATGTTAGGCGCTCAATGTTATTTAACATGGAAGGCAAACAGCACTTCTTTTATAATAGAAAAGCTATCATCAACAAAACGTTTCCAGAATTTAGGTATATGCATGGACCATGGTAGATGTTGATTGAATCAGGCCATATCTTCGATTTCTCCCATACACAAATTGACAACTAACGGGTTGCCCATGGCCCATCCGTGTACTTGTTTGTACTGGTGTCCTCGTCATAGATAAAATAATTGTTAGAAAGAGTAAACTTTAACAGTGAAATGATATTGTCGATGGTTAATTTGGTGTGAGAGGTTAATGAATAATGTGTTGTCATCTTGAAGTTTATAAAGAATTTAAGTAACCTGAAATCGACTATATAACACGTAGAATATACATGAAGTTCCCTGATATAAAACCCAATGCCTGGTTCTGGGGACTCTTAAAGAACGGCGAAGCGAAAGAAAAGCGTGGCAAAAGGAATGTGATGCAAACGAAATGCGAAGCGAAGGGCCTTCTAAACTTCATTTTCAAACATGTGATTTTGACTTTTTGTAAAAACATATCAAACCGGTTTGGGAAGTAAACATGTACAATAGCTAATAATCACCCCCAAACCGGTTTGACTTGTTTTTACAAATAGCCAATCAGATACGAGGTTCATGTATGTTTTGAACCTATACTCGCTATAGTTATCAGCTTCGCAATCGATTTGACTGGAGCCCAGTACGGCAGTAGAAGCTTTTCTGTTTGCCTGGCCGTTCCGAGTCAAGAGCCTCTGGAACCAGAGTACCCATTCTACCGCTTTTTCATTTTAATTTTGGAAGTACTGAATACTGAAAGCTCATACAACGGTACAGCAGTGTAGAATAATTCTTTGGTCACGGACATATCAACTGTTAGGTAAAACCCATAAACATTTATATCGATAAATACGTCTTTTGTTGTATTGCACTCGTTGAAAATAGTGATGAAATAATGAAACATTTACGCCTTCTGTTAGAAATCCGTGACATTTTCATGAATGCAGTTGGGGAAATCCCTTTGCATATTTTATATAATACGGAACGATTGTCAATCAAGATTCAATTTTGCAATGCAAATGAGATTATACTAAATTTGATTGGTTAAGCCTGGTTCACATATACCTGCGCATGTCCGCGGGCTATTGTCGTTAGCAGTTCAACCGAAAGAATGTACACATCAAATTAAAGCTGCAAACAATGATAGGGCAGGCATATGTGAACCAAGCTTAACTGTTTTTTGAGGGTTTGATCTTCCACTTTCTTTGGATATCGTTGTCTGGTGAGGTGTTACCTAGACGCGGGCCAATCAGTCTCTGGCTGTTTTCTTTCCTGCGTATACTTGGTAATGATATGGCTCTGTGTATTAGCGTTCTAGCAGCGCTAACTTTTTGTTGGTTGTCGTGATCGGAACTATATGATCTAAATATTTATCTACGTATGTAGATTTTCTGTATACATCAACGTTAATATGGTCTTCGTGTCGGGATACAAGTCGCCAAGAAATCTAAGAAAATTCGTGATGCAAAAGAAACGCGAAACAAGTCAAACCAGTTTGGGAAATGACCGTGGTGCAATTCTAGCTAAATATACCCCAAACCGGTTTGGCATGTTTTTACAGACAAGCCAATCAGATGCGAGGCTGAGATCTTCAACCTTATTGTCAAGCGAGTTTCTCGTGTTCGTTTGCCTCGCTGTTCCCCTGTCATTTGTACGTTAACGTATATTGTTAGCCTTTTCATTTTATAGCTTTGGAAGGAAATCGAATGCTGAATGTTCGTTCATACAACGTCAACGGTATTGCAGTGTAAAAGAATTTATTCTTTGGTTTTCTTTGTTCACGGACATATCGACAAGCAGGTAAAAACCTAGTAAACATTTATATCGATAAATAAGTTTTTATTATAATACACTCACTGAAAATAGTGATGGAATAATGAAGCATTTACGCCTTTCTGTTAGAAATATAAAATATTTGCATGAACACAGTTAGGGGAAACCCTTTGCATATATAATTTCAAGATTTAATTTTGCAATGCAAATGAGATTACACTAAATTTGATTGGTCAAGGAACAGTCCAGATGCAAATTTCTGAGTATAAATGCAAATTTCTTGACGGTTTGATCTTCCACTAGCTTTCTTTGGCTATCGTTACCTGGTGATGTGTTACCTATAGATGGTCCAATTCTTTCTGTTTTCTCTCATGTGTACTTGGTCATGATATGTCTCTGTGTATTAGCGCGTCCTAGCAGCGCTAACTTTGTATTGGTTGTCGTGGTCGAAACTGTGATCTATTTACTATTAATTAAGTATTTATCTGTGCAGTGTGTAGGTTTTCTGTATACATCAAAGTTAAAATTGCTTTCGTGCCTTGATTGAATGGCCATATCTTCGATTTCCCCCACAAATTGGCAACTAACGGGTTGCCAATGGGCCTGGCTCATCCGTGTACTTGTTTGTAGGTGTTCTTGTCACAGATAGAGATAAAATAATTGTTAGAAACGAATTAAATTCGTCCAAATCAATACGTTTTATCTGTCATAGTAAGACAGATACAACGTCTGTTGCGCGCCTTCATTTCATACGACGTATCGTGTCGAATTAGATGCATAAATTATATATGGTAAAGTCTGTTTCTGTCTTTTTGATTCCATGGTTTTCATTTCTGGGTAATCCACGATCGCTAGTCCAGCCCTTCAGGTATCCGCTTGAAATCCTGGCTAATATTGTAATAATAATTTGAGTATGGCCAATACTGTTTTGCTGTACTGAGGCTCCGGCTATTAATTGTTGAGCGAAGCGAGTATGCAGAGAATGGAAGGTCGAAGTTTCAAGAGCGCTGTGAGTTGAATGGTGGGCAAAGGCTTGCAAGCTTTGTCTATTTGGTACAGTCATGGTTGATAGAGTAGATGGTTTGGAAACTCATTAGAATAACAAAACATCTCATTATCTATGTTAGTCAACGTTTATTCATAACTCTGGCCTTCGCCGTCACGTGTGTATTGTATTTTTGCCAAATTCACCAATAGCAATTTCCAATTTACCCTATTGTTCGAGTCACGGATAGGTAACTTTCCTAAAACATTGCTATTGGTTAGTTGGGCAAAAATACAATATACACGTGACGGCGAAGGCCAGAGTTATGAATAAACGTTGACTAACATGCATAGATAATGAGATGTATTGTTATTCTAATGAGTTTCCAAACCATCTATTCCGACTATTAACCATAGTCCATAGTATAGTATATGAAGGCAGTTAGGGGAAATCCCTTGCATATTTTAAAAACTTTATTAAAAATTCATGGCGCAAATTCAAAAGAAACTAGAGGGCACTAGCGGAGACTGGCGGAGGTAATGAATATTTCAGGATCATTAAACCAGATTTGTCTTGATTTACATTAACTTTATCTTCGAACTTTTCGGATGTTAAATGAAACAGCAAACGGTTTTTATGTTTTCTAGTCATTCATGCAGTCCACTCGTGTGTACTTTTAGATCAGATCAAATATGCGTTGAAATCGTTTGTGTTCCGACTTCCAAGTTGCAGTAATCTAAGTCGGATTGCGCCCTAATTTATTCTGTCTAACGCCAGACACTTCGCTCGTCAGGGGGAAAGCGCGCCAACTCAATGGGTTAATGGATGCTGTGTAAGTAATGAATTATTATTTTTGTGTTGGTACGTAGATAAGGCAAAGTGCTTAATTGATTGCCCAATATGCCTGGAACTAAGCTTACAGACGAAGACCACCGGAAGATCGATGCAAAGTTCATTTGCACATCGTGCAAGTCACTGTTGAACATTCCCATGCAAACCATGTGTGGTCACTTGATGTGTCAGTCTTGTGTCGAAAACTTACTCAAGTATGATAATTTTTAGTGTGTACTTTCAATGAATGTCAGTTCATCAGGATTTCATTTATACATCGTTGTCACTCGTGTATTTAGTGGTAAAAATATTCTTTTTTTGTCAGGAGTTCGAATCCAAAATGTCCTGAAGATGGTGAAGAGTTGAGTAAAGAAAAAGTGAGTGCTTTTCATTTAAACATTTATGGAAAATTTATGAAAATCTGATCAAACGTATAGGCAAACGTCGTTGAAATTATTAGCAAGCTTGCTGCTTTTAGCAAACTACAAAAACAGTAACATTTATCAAATAAACCAATCAAGCAAACATAGGCTAACTATAGTAAAATCAAAACAATATTAAAATCAGTTCAGGCACCAAAACGTCCGTTGATATGTATCTACCTGAAAAATACAAGGAGAACTTCAATGTTTTGAGCAGCAAAGTCAGTTCTCTTTGACACTTTGTATGCTAATTGTTCAAACAAATTTTTGAAAACTAGATAAAGATAGACTGTTGCATGCAATAATATACGGTACAATTTTATGGCATTTGGGTGAGTAGATGCAACGAAACCAAGTGAAAAGAGATAAAGAGGTTGTTCCTATCTATGTTCCTATTATTGTATCTTATCTCGCAAATTAACATATAGTTTAACATAGATGATGACATTTAGAATTAATAATAAAAGTAATTATATATGAAACTCTTCAGGCCGAATGCTTCTACATGTTCTGCCAGATTATTACAATATTTTTTAACTCTTTCAGGTTTTTCCCGATGTTTTCACCAAACGTGAGCTTAATGCAATTCCTTTACATTGTGCGAATCCTGGTTGTTCCTGGCGTGGTGCTTACGAGCAGCTGGAGGTGAGCTGGTGGGATGAAGAGAAAAGGGGGTAGAATGCAGTAGTGAACACTGTGGGGGTGGGGGGATACCTGAATAACTGTGCAACAAAAAGCTCAAATAATGAGTTTGCAACCATAATACCTTAAAGGCATTTCGTGATCTATAAAATATTCAACATATTTCATTTTCCCTAATGTAGCGACCCCTTCAACGGTCGGTTGTCTTTTAGGACTGCTATATAAAATCCCAAACTAACAGGGTTTGTTATTCCCCAAATTCTACAGTTGCTAAATACAAATGAAAAACAAAATTATAATTTCCCATATTTAGGGTCATTCTCAAGTTTGTGAACATGCTTTGATCAAATGCGTCCATCCCCAATGCCAGATGAAGTTACAACGCTCTCATTTGGGTGAACATTTAAAAAGCGAATGTGAATATCGGAATGTGAAATGTGTACTTTGTGGGCAAGATGTCACCTTTGCCTTGATAATGGTAAGAATAAAATATCTTAGAAAACTGTGATTTTATAGTTTTCACAAGACAAACTGGCTAAATTGTGTTTGCCCGGATTCTGGTACTTATCTGGACTATTTGTCTACCAGAGGCATATGTTGTCTGCTCACTCTAAAACCACTGCATGGTTAAAATTTCCTGGTTAACACTATTTGGGTTAACTTAATATTCTTGGTTAAATTTCCTGGTTATTTTATCTCACTGCTTACCATAGTCTGGTTAATATAACCAGAAATCTGGTTATATTTGACCAGGACGTCCTTTTTAAAATAACCAGATTGTACTAGGCGGAGAAATAACCAGGCGCCCTGTGCTTTCGAGTTCGTAAATTATTAACAATAATTACAAATCCATAAGTCTCCTTTTCAAATCAGTTTGATAAACTCGTCACGTCGTCTTCTATATGTAGTTAGCCAGCCTCAAGCCAGTTTACACAATTATGCTCACTATTTGTCTAGGAACATGTTGATACGAGCTGTGAAGGTGCACCCGTGACTTGCAGATACTGTAAGGAAGATGTTTTGAGAAAAGACATTGAAAGACACGAGAGACACGATTGCAACGAGGCTCCAGCGACTTGCGAGTTTCAAGCTGTGGGCTGCAACCATGTTGAGGTAATGGCTTGTTGCTTTGTTTGTTTAGTGTCGGTATTTACAGTGCCAGTGGTCAGTACATGTTTGTTTCACCTTTGTGACACGAGTACGGTTCTTGCAATAATTATTAGGTCTATATAAAAGCATATATAGATGAGCAAATGTTCAACTGTTCAATAGTCTTCCATAAATTCTTATTTACCTTTATCTTTGATACAATTCGTAGACTTTGAGGCGAAATGAAATACGTCAACATATGAACGATGGATTGATAGACCATGTCAGATTACTGTTACAGTATATTCTTACCTTCGTTACCCAGCTGGGCAACTATATTCCACGTCCGGAATTTAATGGAATCATACAGAGAATTCGCGACGACATTTCGGAGGTTCGCTTTAGCTTGGCCGAAAAATTTGCTATGGTTGTCAGAAAGTTCACTGACTTGGACAGACGGCTTGAAAATAAGTTCACTGGCATAGAAAGACGGTTTGAATATTTGGAGTCCAGGCTGGAATCCCAAAGAGATCCGCGTGCACAACAAGTTATACACAGTCACAATGGCACTTTACTGTGGAAGATTGAAAGTTATCAGAGAAAACGGCAAGATGCCATCAATGAGGTGAAGACTGCTCTATGCAGTCCGCCTTTCTACAGTTCTCAGTTCGGATTTAAAATGTGTGCTATATTATATATGAATGGAAATGGTATCGGAAAAGGGTCGCATTTTTCGTTGTTTTTTGCTGTCATGAAGGGTGAGTTGATTACTTGCGACGAATTTTGTTGTACTTATATAGGCATTTGACAAAGTGTTGGATTCGTAAGTAAGCCCAGGGACGCCGGAACGATAATAGGGCAAAGGGGGGCGGACGCACACCAAGGGCACCTTTACTGAAAAATTTTTTTTCACTGCAAAATTTTTTGGCGACCCCCGTCGCCAAAAAAATTACGGTCAGTGTACCATTTTAGGGGTCAAAAAATTTTTCCGGACATACAAAAATTTTCCGTGAAGCCAAAAATTTTTCCGGATATCTTAGATTTTCGCCATTTCTTCAAAATATTTTTCTAAATTCCAAAAATCTCGTGAATCTCGTGATTTTCCTACAAAAAGCATCGTTGGAAATGTGATTTATCACGTATTATTTTACAACTAAAAGGGTACTTCTGCCCCCCCCCTAGCAAAGGGCAAGGGGGGCAGCCGCCCCCCCTGCCCCCCCAGTTCCGGCGTCCCTGAGTAAGCCAATAGGGATGTAGTCATGTTGTAAACATTGGTGAAACTGATCTGTTATAGGGGCTGTGTATATGTTGGGGGCGAGCCAGAAAAAAACGGTTTAGCTATAGGCGAGATCCCGCTTTTCGAGAGATTCGCATATGAACACAATGACCCGGCTGCTGGCTCGCCTAAGCGGGCTGGGTGTTATTGCTCGATCTGTTTACAAAAATATATTGTTGTAAATAAGATTTTCTCGACAAATTTCGCTTTTAAAAGGTCTTTCTGTGGGTTATATAACCGGGAAAGTTGTTCGTGAAAGTGCGAATTTCAGGTTTGTGAGAAAATGCATTTATGCTGTTCTATTTATAGCGGTGAGATGATGGGATGAAATCAGCTCGGCAAAGCGAGCTAGCTCATATATACCCGGGCTGGCTCCCTTCCGTACCCCTTAATTTTAAAGTGCAACTAACACCAAATATGATTTTTGGTACGTGTAATAGTTCGGTGATTTTAAGAAGAAATGTAATATATCTTTATAGTAAAAAAGTTCATCTTTTGTTCATCATTCGGGGAATTGCAAATTAGTTTTCTCTTGTTTTCGGCACCTAAAATTCCCCAGATGACATCATATCTGGCAGCTTCGAGAGCCGAAAAAATCAATCAAAACGAGTTTTTTTACTATAAAGTTACAAATATTTCGTAGGCCAAAGCCCAAAATCTCCATGCAGGGAGCCCAGGAGCATGTCCTCCCAAGAAGTCTAAATCCTTAATTTGATCCCCAGATAATGTGCATTCAAAATCGCTCATCACCTAGAGACAAGAAGCAGATGCCTTGATTACGACCCTGGCATGGCCAAGTTAATATCACCTCGGCCAACCTCTAATGTCTATTTTCCTTTTTAGTTTTGTTTTAGTATGGTTTTCTAATTTAGTTTAAATTTAGTTCCTAGTAACAATTTATTTATAGTAATATTAAACAATTTTTTGTTTATGCAAAGGTCCATTGTAATGATTGTAGTATATGACAGCAATGTTCTAAACTATTATCATTGTTTTTTGCGCCTATCAAAAGGTGACTACGAAGCTCTTCAAACCTGGCCATTTGAGAAGACGATCACGATGATGCTCTTGGATCAAGGCAATGGAGATCATATGATTGATGCGTTTCATTCAGATCCTCAGAGTGCCTCGTTTCAACGCCCAACGTCGTACATGAATATCGCTTCAGGTTCCCCACTTTTCATGCCTTTTCACAAATTGAACGACCACCAATATATCAAAGATGATGTCATGTATATTAAGATCATTGTGGACTGATATACGCCGGCATGACATTTTGTGTACATACTAACGCAAGCAAATGGGGAGGGGGCCTCAGGGGGCTATCCCTTTGTTAAAATTTCCTTTCAGGTTGGGGGGCTCACGACATATCCTTGATAATTTAACAATGTTTTGCCAATTCAGTAAGATTTCTAATATGGGTTCTGAAACTTTCATGATGAGTTTCATCTCTTTTTCAACGGGACTATCGAGATTAAAATGCTTAAAAAAGGAAAAAAGCTACGTACACTTTTTTCGACTTTTTAACATTGTAACTTCGATATAGTCCCTTCGATAGTGTCTATATATTAGAAGCAAGATTTGGCATTATTGCACAACTGAAATTATTCCAACTTAGTTCTGCTCAATTTTGAAGATACATGGCCTGGGTTAAACTTACTGTTGGGTCATTGTTTCATTTTTGGGTCATTGTTTCAAGGAGCCGGAGTTTTGACTGCCGGAGCTAAAATAACCGGAGTTTGCACAACAAGGTTGGGACCAATCCATTTATGTTTTACTTGTATATCCACAATGCCCCAGTAGAACTGCGATTTTATTTAGTGTTTAAAAAGTGCCTCGAAGAACAATCAGTTCAACAAGTTTCAACAATTCGCAAGGTCGACTTGCTTAGAATTACTGAACTATTTCATTCGCCTTCTTTACTTTGGCTTCCAATACAGCAGACAGAATAAAGAGGTTTAGATTTTCAGTTCGACTACCGCTACCATTAGCCAATCAGATGCGTTTAATCCACTCGATTAACCAATCAAATGCGTATTAAGCCAGCTGTGAAAGATAGTGGTAGTGGAAGTCAAATCTTCACCTCTCTAATATGCTAGAATAAAACGGACAGTTTTATCGTGGCAATATGTAAAACACAAATGGATGGTTGAACACTTCAGCACTTTGATATACATATATTTTAAATCTTCCACCAGTTCTCCGCTATGTGTCAGCACGCGTTATTTGCATGGATACACATGCAGTCGACATCACCAAAAGTACTGGCTATTCCTTTGCTCTATAGAGTATAGTGGGCAGTATAGTGTTTCACGATATTTCATAATTTTGTTCACTATGTAATAAAATTAGTAATTATACAGCTCAGGTTTGTCAATTGTGAAACAGCGCAGTTTACTGGAATCTAGAAGCCTCTATACTATAGCATATACTATTGAATAATCAAATATAGACAAAAGGATAATTCCTTTACCAATATATTAACTTAAATAATTTGTCTTGTAATAATTGTGTGACTAGTGACTACATTTACTTTTCTCTCCCCATATATATAGTTTGCAGGGAGTTATATTCATTAAATTTACTGTAAAATTATCAGACTGAAGTAATCGTTTTAGAATATTCTACCATACATAGTCTATCAAGATATGAAGGTCTGGAAGTTCGGGAAACATCAAAGCCACAAAATAGAAGGCCATGTTGAACTGTGCCTCACCGTGCACAAATCCTTTGTCTCGACTTCATCAAAAATGATTCATCGTGGTTGCACATTTCACCCCAACTATCCCTATTGGACGGTTCTACTAGTAATTGTTCGAAAATACAATGAGCTCAATTACCGTGACCGTGCACAAATTAACGTAAACTCAATGTAAAAACAATGTTACAGGCAAAACTACGTGAAGCGTTCCTCTTTTGACTTCGTAACTCATTTGGAATTTTCCTCGTTAGCTTTGCAAATTTGAAAAACTCTTTGCAAATCCCTTGAGGGAATTTGCAACGTTCCTATCGGCTGTTGCAATATTCCAGACTTCATTTTAAATTTTCCTAACTTCCTGTTTTAATTTCCTAACTTCCTGTTCTGTTCTGAGCGTTGTTATTAGTTGATTATTTTTGTTAGCCAATTGCAACGCCCAGAACAGAACAGGAAGTTAGGAACTTGTAACAGGAAGTTAAGAATTTCTAACAGGAACTGAGGAAAATTTTATTGGCTTTTAGCAACATTGCAAATTTCCTTAAGGGATTTGCAAGGGAGTTTTTTAAATTGCAAAAGTAATGAGGAAAATTGCAATCAATTTAGAAACTCAAAAGAGGAACGCTTCACGTAGTTTACCTGTAAATCGGTTTGGGAAATATAATGAAACAGGTGCAATAGCTGATTATACCCAAACTGCGGTTTGACATGTCTTGACATGCTAACTCAGATGCGAGACTCGAAGATTTCATTTGACTGGATTGAGGCAACTCGATCCGTTTGTCCCTTGCTGTTCGCCTGTGGTTATATATCAATGTATATTGATAGCTTTTTCATTTTAGCTTTGGAAGGAAATTGAATGCGGAGTTAATACAACAGTATTGCAGTCTCAAAGGAATTTATTCAATGGTCCCTTTTGGTCACGGACATATCGACTGGTAGGTTAAAACCTAGCCAAGCATTTACGCTCATATCAACGGCCTGCCCCGGGGGTACACTCCCGGGACACCCCTTGAAAAAACTTGATTCTAATACCGCAATTCCCCTTCCCTCCCCCGAGCATTGTGAAAATAAAAGTGCCCCCCATGCAGGGGATTTGAATTTTCAGCGTGGCCACTATGAATATTCATGAACAACACATTTGCTGATCTGTGTCATTGCCAGCAGAAAGTAAATATGGATTATAGATAGATAGATGTGTTTATCAAATCCAAACTTGCAGCTACAGCTGAATTACAATGGATATAAAAACTTACAAACTTTTATAAAAATCTACAGGACTGAACTAAGATCATGATTAAACTAAGAATTACAACTATATATAGGAATATCAAGGTATTAATTAGTTAAGTATTGAAATAAGGTTCGAAATTAATATCGACCTGCGCTAACGATAACAATAGAGTTTTTAGATAGGTTCGTTTTGCATTTTGGTATCCTAAAGAATCGCTTGTTCTATAGATGGCCAATTCACTGTTCATAGGTGGTAGTAACGTGCGACGTTTATGGTTCAGATCGTCCACAATACTATTATATATAATAAATGTTTTTTCACACAATTTTTCCCGCCTATCATTGAAATTAAAGAGTCCAGATTTAGGAACAGCTTCATGGTAAGACAAGTCCGGATGAATGATCTTGAGTGCGCGCCGTTTGATCTTCTCAATATCATCATAGATTGTAAAATAACAATTATTTTACAATCCATTATATCATCGCTCAGATAACGTGGCAGACTGTACATGTGGTGAAAGACTGGGGAGGCATATTCGAGGATTGGGCGAACACAAGTGCAGTAGAAAAGGATAATTTCCTTTACCGGCACTCTTGCACGTTTAAAAGTTGCCATAAAAAGTACAGGCGCTTTGATGTTTTCTTTACGATTTAATCCACATGATCATTCAACTTGAGATCACTTCGGATAGTTACGCTCAATTGGACTCTGATGCTCAATGCATTGGTAATACTAAAACAGATATCTCGAAGAGTTACTGATGATGAATTTACTTCAAACATAATAAAAATAAACACCTTTTTCGATGAAATTTTGGCGATCAATGTCGTGTCCCTGTTATTTAATTTGAGCCTGCGATATTGACTTCGCATTTCAGTTATGAAATTATCACGACAAAAAGTCCCCCATCCCCCCCCCCGCGCATTATATACCTTAGAAACTACAAAGTACGCAATTTTTTCGGGGCCTAAGGGCAGAATACGTGGCTAAAATACCAAATTCCTCTTGTTTTCCCCAGGTTGTCTCGGGGGTGTACTCCCCGGACAGGCTGTTGATATGTGCATTTTTAGTATGTAGGTTTTTAAGGCCGATTTAGAAAGAAAAAAAATATTCTTCATTCTTTGTCGTATATGAAACCAGATATAGTATAAACCAGCCTTAATACAGCAACATTTTTAAAAACAAACCAGAAAATATTAAATTAACTCTACTATTTCGCCGTAACGGCTAAAATAAATTTTAAAACTTTTTCTCGCCCTGTCTCAAGCCTCGTCATATCTTGACTTCACAGTCATGCACTGAACAGTGCATGTAATGAAGACAATACCACCATTCATTCGATTCGGTAAAACAAAACTAATTCCTTACAATAGTTTTAGTCTTTATCAACATTGTGGCGATAATATATGCCATGGCTTCTGAAAGTCAAGCGAGATTGTATATTATCAAATTACTCAACAAAAATATAGGCTGGCCATACCTTTCGCTGAACATATAAACCAACGGCTAAGGGTAACATCAAAACATACACAAAAAATATCATGATCATATAAGAACACATTGGTATCGAAGGTATAGTATAGACTTAGTTCTGAAATACCGCACTTTCGAACCGACTTGACCTCGTAGATCAGTTGGTAGAGCATTGGACTAGTATATCCCAAAGGTCGCGGGTCAATTCCCACCGTGGTCAGGCAACCTTTTCAGCCTGCCTGGTGTGGATATACACTCACGCCCGTATTCTAAAAGCTCACTCACACTAACACTCAATGATTGAGTGGAGGTTCAATCTGAGCTTCTCTCGAGTGTCAATGCTGTTTTTGGAAGGCCGGCGAGAGGCAACCATGCACGGGCCCCTTCGTAATTTTTCTCGTCTCCTGTGTCAGACAATGTTTTGAATATCTCGTGAACTTCAGGTCCAGCTTGATACAATAATAGTGCTCTTTTACGTGCATTGTCCTTCACATTTGAAGCGACTAAATATGTGTTAAAACGTTGAATCCACTGTGTCCATCGAGCGCTTGTATTCGTTGGATCAGCTTTCGGTTCGAACAAAGGCATTGGCTGTAAGCCATTCATTGCCATAATTTATCCTCGTCGCCAATGTAGTAATCACACAATCTTGATAGTTATATATTTTCCTTTACTTACTTACTAGATACAAACTCAATGTTTTCTCCTTCGTGCCCTAATTACATGTGTCCTTATTTTTCCCGCGCATTATAATTTATTCTATAAATTATGTATATCTGTCAATCACTACAGGTGGGTAGGTATGGTCCCGATCCTGTTCAACCGGCCAGTCTTGAAAACCATCACAGCTTGAAGACCATCATATATATATATATATATATATATATATATATATATATATATATATATATATATATATATATATATATATATATATATATATATATATATATATATATATATATATATATATATATATATATATATATATATATCGCAAAAGTGTGGAACTCTCTTCCTGAAGTTTTGAAAAAAGAGAGTTCATTAAAGCGGTTCAAAGATCTTTTAAAAAATATCCATTTTTCCGCTGATCATTAATTAATTAAATTAATATATATTGCAAACTATAATATACGGCTTACA